TCGACATCTGTTTCATCAGGGACACAAGATCAGGGAAGTACGCCCGGCAGCCGAAGGTTCGTAACATGTTTGTKTCAGAAGGCGAGAGTGAGAGCGCGACTCTTTCACCTCCTCAGTCCTCCATGATGATGAGGAGGAGGAGGAGGAGGATGGTAGTGTGTGTGTTTCCTCACTCAGCTGATGGTGCAAAGGTGACAGTTGCTAATGAGCCTGCTGACAGATGGGCTGTCAGACAGGAAGTGATGTCACTCGTGACTCCTGATGAGGAAATTGTCGTCTATCCGAGGACGAGCTGCTGATAAAACTCATATTTTTCAGGATGTTGTGACTCAGCTGATCGAACACTGAGGATTATTTCATCCAGAGTACTTTAAAATAATCCCATGTTCACCCGCCTCCGTTGTTTTTTACACACCTCAAACAGCTGATTCATCTCTAATATCCCCGCTGGTTTTATTTTGTTTACTCCGTTGCGAGCTGTTTAACTTCAGCTGAAAGCTCCATTAATCCCACGCTGTGAGATCACAGCAACAACCTCTGAATGTAAACAGGAACAGCCCACACAGGAGCGCCAGTCGGTCCTTAAATCACCTTCAGTCCTTCAGCAGAGGCTTTTATTTAAAGCAGCCTCCAGACGGAGACCTTTTGTTGGACGAGCTGAAGCAGCAGTAGGAGCRGCTAGGGGTGTCTTTATGGGGGTTCCTAAAGAAGAACTCCTCTGCTCAGTTTCACCATCGCTGAGTCTGAAACTTCGTCGCGCTAATTAGTWCCAGACGATGTTCTCGTGGAGAACCCGGCCGCGGAGAAAGGAGCGTGAAGTCTTGACGGAGCGGTCGAGCGTTGACGACCAGAATCTGATCCTGTGAGCGAGTGGAGGTCAGTCGGYGATGGAGAGATCTGCATCCAGCTGGAGTCGACCCAACTTCATTTTCACGACTTCACAAAAAAAAAAAAAAGAAAACATCGAATGAAGGTCGAATGCTTTCCGTCCAGAAGTACGAATAATCTTTATAACCAATAAAGTTTTCCACGTAACCTTTTATCAGTGTGTCGTGGACACGTTTATCAAGAATGCAGAAACACGTTGGAATAAATGCACAGAAAATCTGCGTGTATGGTCGTGAATTATTTAATTCTGAGCAACAATAAACAGAAAACAACTCATGGAAGTCTGTTGAATTGTGGCCCAGAATTAAATAATTCACGACCATACACGCAGATTTTCTCTGTGCATTTATTCCAACTTGTTTCAGTGTTTTTTTTTA